AATTATAAATATTGTTGGAATTAATTTAGGATACATAAAACAGAAATATTAAACTTTGGTATTTAATTTTATTTATTTTAGACAAATCATACAAAATTTCTGAAACGTGTGCTTTTTTGACAGATCCTAAATTAGTTTCAACATTTATAATTTTCAGTTTTGGCACACTTTTGGCACACTCTGTATATATATATACTGAATACTTATGATTGAATATTATAATATGTATTATTGTTTCAGTCATTATTTTATAAAATCTTTAATAAAGATAAATGTATATGAAATAGGTGTGTGTGCATGCTTTAATAAATTAACTATTTTATTTATTTATTTTTTATTTTTTATTCATTACATAAGGAGAAAAAGGAAAGAATAGCTTTCTTTTTTACTTTAACGTACAGTATTATATATATATGTCAATCGTATATTTTGACGACAATTTTGAGGATGGTTTGGCTACTTTGACGACCGTCGTCACAATTTTTACCAGTCAATCGTATACTTCGACGACTGTCGCCGAATTAACCGTAATGGTGTAAGGGCTATTTTAAGGACACTGTATTTATTTTGACGACTGTCGTCAAATTATACAATGTCGTTAAAGTATTCGATTCATCATTAGAGGTTAATTTGACGACATAAGCATATATTGACTACTTTGACGACATGTAGTATAGTGGCGATCGGGTGATCCAAAAATGTGGAAACCCTTAATATTTCAAAAAATACACATTTTCATAAAAAATTGTTTTATACAAAAGTTATAGGATTTAATATTGCTTTTAAGAAAAAACATGCAATCGCATGTTGCATATTACATTTTTAAAGAAACTATTATGTTTTCTTAACACCAATTGATTTATCTCATTATTTTGTGCATAAAAGTATTACGGTAAGATTATCGAAAATTGAATGTTTTGCAGGATATTTTGTATTTTATGTTAAAATGTAAGGCTGATGGCAAAGAACGAGATGTAAGCGCTTATGTCTGTCGAAGTAGCAAAGAATCGTGGACATATGGTAAAGGCCATCACACACAAAATTCCGTAACAACGTAAGACGTAACCATAAGCATATCGACCAATCACAATTGAGTGTGTATCCCCACTTGAATTGCATACAAATTGCACACTCAATTGTGATTGGTCGATTTATGGTTACGTCTTACGTCGCTATAGAATTTTGTGTATGGTGGCCTAAACGACGTATAAAGGCCATCACACACAAAATTCCGTAACGACGTAAGACGTAACCATAAGGAAATCGACCAATCACAATTGAGTGTGCAACTTAAATGCATCAAGTGGAAATGCACACTCAATTGTGATTGGTCGATTTCCTTATGCTTACGTCTTACGTCGCTACGGAATTTTGTGTATGGTGGTCTTTAACCCTGATCTACAATAGGTGTAGTAAGCTTTAAGCAGTAAGAAATTGACCAATCACAGACAAAGCATAATCAACAAGCAAAAGAATAATCGACTATGACTGGTCAATTTCTTACGACTTACGACTGTATTGTAGAACAGGTATTAATGGCCTTAACTCTCTTTGTCTAACTATAGTTTACGTAACTTATATTATAGACAAAGAGGGTTACTCAGAGTAAGATTTCTGAACGCGGCCCTGGATGCATTCAATACATTAAGAACTGAAACAAAGAAAACTGTGTCCGCGATTTGGAAAAGAATACGTATATAATTTGAGGATCTCTCTCTTTTTGCCATCAATCAATCAGCGAATGACTGACAAGAAAGACTAGCCTCACATAATCTATCTATTCTTTTCAACCAAGGAGACACTCTCACTCCTGAAAGGCTCGATCCAGTATGTTATAGAACTCAATGATCCAATATGTCGTAGAATCTCCTTTTTGGCTCCTGCGCCATAGGACACGTGTAATGTTTGCTGAGCGACCAATCAACTTAGGATGAATTCTCACTGAGCAAGTCATGCGTCGCGTCATCCATCAGCGTCACGAATTAACCAATCAAAACATCCATTTTATTACATTCTATTATCATGCAATAAAATGAGATGCTTTGATTGGTTAATTCGACGCTAACGAATGACACAACGCGTGACGCACTCAGTGGAAATTCACCATTACAATATTTCCGAAAAATTGATTGGCTGCTGCAATGTTACTTGCTGCGCGACAAATGTTTTACAGTATGCAATATTTAGAATACTTACCATTTAAAAGATAAAGAAAGGCATTAAAAGTATAATATTAAAAGTATAATATTTTTGTTCTATATTTACATTTATTATTTGTATATTATTATTTGTACATTTTCTCGATAACGCATTCTTCGAAGAATGAAATAATAATTTCAAGTTTACTATTCAAACACAATTGTCTAAAGATGAAAACGGAACGGTAGGTATGCAAAGTGGAAATTATGAATTTGGAAGCAATAATGAAATACAATCAGGTTTTAATTTCAATAACTATTACATAACTATTACATAACTATTGCATAACAATAACTATTACATAACTATTTTATTTTAAATTTGATAACAATGTCGAAAAGTAAAAAAGCATATTATTAACGAAAATAATATAATAATATAATAAAAATGATAATGGAGAAGCTAGTACGCAAAGCAGAAGTTATGAATTTGGAAGCGATGATGATGAAATATAATCAAGTGAGTTTTTAATTTTAATAAATTTCATGACTGTTATTTTATTTTAAATTTGATAATAATGTCGAAAAGTAAAAAAACATTATTATTGAATATAATATACTAATATAATAAAAATGATAATGGAGCAATTAGTGCACAAAGTAGAAGTTATGAACTTGGAAGTGATGATGGTGAAATACAATCAGGTGAGTTTTTAATTTTAATAAATTTTATGAGTTATTTTATTTTAAATTTGATAATAATGTAGTCTTGCACTTTTTACTTTTGGATATTAAGAATACTGTAATAAGATTTGTCGATGAAAATGGAAAAGCTAATATACATTTTGAATATGGAAGCAATGCTGAAATATAATCAAGTGAGTTTTTAA